AGCCTGAGAAATTATAAACTATCATATGCTGCAGATTCATGCAGTGATAATAAACAAAAAAAGAAAAGTAAGAGGTTTCCTTAAGCTAGCCAAACCGCTAATGGTTTTGTTATAAGCTGTCTACTGTTGAAGTGACCTCTGCAAAGTCTCAAGGCACTTGCACCAGGCAGAATTAAATCGTCCAGTTGGTGAGAAGAATTGCAGGAGCAGATATCCTGTAATAATAAAAAGCTACCTTAATCTATACCCTTTTCCCCACCATGGCATTAGAGGAAGCTCTTTATTTCTTCATCTTTGGAAGAAATAATTTTGCATTAAGCCTTTAGGCTGCATTTTAATGCACTTACAAATCATTGTGGTCAAAAGAAACTTAAGATTTTAAAACAGTCAAATGCTAACAAAATTAAAGCAGTACTAATTTATTTTCCCTCAATTGACCCTGTGATCCAACTGCCTGTAAAAATTTCTTTTGCAAAACGTAAGGTTACTACATTGCTATCATGCTTTGCAGAGAATTTCAAAGTACACAAACCTAGTGAAGGCTTAATCTACAACATATATCCAAGAGCACACCAGGGTTTTATCCTTGAATCTTACTGTAGCATAATTAACACCTCCTTCATCCATTGCTCATTAGCGTACTGGACATTAATGAGCCTATTTATTCTCATATGACTCTAAAGAAGGAACTTATTTGTTCTTACTGTGCAAAAAAAGCAATTATAAGATAGCTTAGAAATCAAAATGTAGGGTGTGTTGCTGCATTTATGCTTTTTATTGCGTCCCAGATCTAATTTTAGGCTGCAGGTTGTTCAGCATGTTAGTTTTCCCTAAGACAGTTGCTATAGTGATTGCAGTGAATTCTTTTAATCTTGGTGTAGTTAAAATGTTCCTTCTTATGGGTTGAATTGATGCTGTTAAGTAGAAGCAAAATGTCACTCAAGTCATACTTTTGTCCAGTAGTTTATTAAAAAAATAATAAGAATATAGTAAGGAATTAAGCACAGTAACATTTTGCAGTGCAGGCCCATAAACACAATATCTTCCACCCAAACATATACAACTACTGATCAAAAATACAATGAAATAAACATATGCAGTAACATTGGTATTTAGAATTGTTAGGCCATATTCCACACAATAAAATTTTTAAAACTCGGATGTATCTAGTCTGTTCCAAAACCGTTTTCTCCTTGAAATTCCACTGTACAACACTAGATGGCTGAAGGCATTTTCTCAGAAAGATTATTAAAAATGACCTTGTAAAAATGGGCCACTATAATCCCAGCACACTTGCAAAACTGATGCATGGCCACTTATTTAGCATCCATTCAAATAGCTCATCGTGAAAAGTGCATATGGAGCTCAAATCTGAGTAGAAACAATTCTCTTACAAAACACTGCTGTCTTGGATAGGTTCCATGTTTTCTAGTGGAGCAGTCATTTCTAATCCATTCTAGGAATGTAAGTGTTAGTAGTACTCTAAAATACAAAGCACCTTGTGATTCTGATACAGTGCCAAGTAATTGTATCTTCCCCTCTGAGTAAATTCTTTATTTGTGTCATTTCTTATCGAGTAAATCTCTAGAGGACTACAGTGTAGGATATTTAGTTCTGTTTTTGCTTACTTTTAATTTATACTCCTTTGTGGTTGGGCATTTGCAGGTGTTCAAAAATTAGAACATATGGCTGAAATGCTGCTTCAGGAGTTTGGGAGATTTATAAGACTCAATCCATATACTACTAAAACTCTCCTGTTTGTTTCGGAATCTTCAATTAGCCAAACAGTGCATCAAATCGCAAAAAGTTTTAAATCAAGGTACCTCAAATGTACCAACTAAAAAAAATCATATAAAATCTGGAACCCATTACTGTCATGGCACTGAAATAATAATAATCTTCAGGCCAGTTGTATTTGCAAACTTGTGGTCATTACAGCATTGCTGATAGTGATCAGGACTTCTGAGCTACTCTGCCAGCTTCCAATAAGCAAAATCGGTAAGGAAGCCGACAGGAAATCAGAAAGAATACAATGTCAGCATTTTGTACTATAAATCTAATACCTTTATTATTTGGTCAATAGTTTCGTTCATGACAATCATCATAAACATATTTCTTGAAATGGCACATGGAGTGCAATTGGTATGCAAAAGTGATCATGAGGCAGCAATATGCAGAGCATTGGGTTACGACATAAAGACAATTTCAACCTTTAGGAACTACTGTTAAGGAGAATTAAATTCTATCCATTCACACATTTCAGAATCAGTCTAAGCAAATTTCTTGGGGGGATGGGGCAGGATCCTTAAAATTAAGATTAGGTGATCTCTAAAAAAACACATACATTATCCTCACTCCCCTCCCCCTCCTAGGTTCTCTCTGCACAAGTTAATGCTACTGTATAATGTTATTAAAGGCCAAAGTTGCTTGAAAACAGAAACAATCTGTTTAATATGGACCTAGGAGTAAGGAATAAGGGTGACACTGTAGGATTTGTGAGCAAGAAGAGTAGGATGAATATATTATAAAACCTATATTATTCCTGAGGTTTTCTTAATTCTAGAACAAGTTAGAAAAAAATAGGATAATTTGATCAAATTGGTGTGAGAACATAAGCTTCTTATGTCTTCAGAGTTTTATGTAAATGCATTCCTAGTCCCATAATGGAAATGTCAGTGCTTCATCTTGAGGCTTTAGCATCTCCATACCACTAAAACTTAGTATCTGTAACCTTTAATTGAGCAAACAGTAAATCATAGTGGAATAATTTTCGAACCAAGGTACCTCAAATGGACTAATTGACATAACGTGTTTAAAATTTGGAACCTGTGACTCTAGAGGGGTAAAAGACTTTGTTTTAATCATTGCTTGTTGAATTGTAGCTTGCAAACAATCATCAGATTCACATAACATGCTAACCTAAAATAAATTAGCTACAGCATGGCTTAGTGCAATGTGCAACTCAGATGTTATCTATTGTTTTCATCATTGGCAACCATATTAAAATGTACAGATGGAACATTATGTGAACTAAAATATGAAGACCAGGAGCTCTTAATTTAAAAGCAAGATCATTATGACAACGAACTGAAATTTCAGTTTATTTCATTTATTCAGTGCTTAAAACAACTTCAGTACAGGATTCCCATTCAACACTCTTGTTTATTGAGCAGTAAAATGTGTAGATGATGCATATTTCATATCTTTGGAGCATTAATATATTGGTTGTAGCTGCCTTGCCCTTGTGAAAAAGTATAATGACTATAAATTATCTTACATCATTTTTAAGTAACATTTATGCATTTACCTGGTACTTCCGCTGCAAGACAGCTTAAGTTCTTATCTGCTGCCTGCCCATCAGAATAAACTGAAATAAGAGCCAAACAATTGTGTAGTTTCATAATTATTTGTGATGGTCACAAATTTGTTTTTTTAATCATTATTTATTTTAGTCTTAGAGATTTTATTGGATGCTATTGAGCCTCCTAATTCTTCCTTATGGTTCCCTTCGGGTAATGATACGATCGTCCTCTCTCATCGTGCCACTGTTTTGTATAGAAGCAGCATTTGGAGTCAAATATCCTACACTTAGGGAAACGATTGCTGTTCTTGGACAATTCATCAGATGCAAATGCATGCATATTTACGGAAAACCACTGTTATGTTTCTCCAGTTGAAATTTATAGCCACGTACATTCACTTCGTTATACTGTATATCATTGTGTAGAACTGGTGTACAGCAGAGAGAACGCCTTTCCATAAGGCACCTATGAGAAGCAGGTTGCAGGCTGTTAAATGTACAGCTCATCCTAAACAACACAAACTTGTATATGTTCTTAGAATGTTGAGCTTGGGTAAACTGAGAAATGGCTCAACTTTGTATGAGTAACACTGTAGTTCAGAGGTTTATTTATTTATTTGTCTTGTATGCCGCCCACTCCCGGAGGACTCCGGGCGGCTCACAAAGACAAGGGAAAGGGGGAAACTAGACAAAGACAACATATTAAAAACAAAACCAACATTCACAATTTTTCACAGGTTTTCAAATCTTTTCAGGCTATAGAACTGTTAGCTTAAGAAAAAAAATCTTGCCACTTCCAATCAAAGGGAAAGTTTTAGTAACATAAAATTGACTCATTTGAGTGAACATTCCCCCCCTCAATCCTTAGTCTCTCACAGAACCCATTAAGATTTAGAGTACCACAGAGCATAGTTTGAAAATCTCCTTGCCAGTCTTTAATCTGTATTGCGCCACATTCTATCTTTCTTAGAATCACGGAACCATTTATGGCATTTTACAGAATTAAAAAGAAATCATAAAGTTTTGAAAGTTTCCAGCTATATTGTTATTATTGTGACCTTATTTTTGTTCGCCTTGTTTTTTTGCTCTCTTTTACTCTTGGCCATGACACTGACAAGGTCATCATAATCCATTCGACAGTCTGTAGCCTCTTTCTTACTTGCAGGAAATAAAAAGCATCTGACTAGGAGGGAATACATGGGGCAAGTTCCTTGCTGGCTATAATTTTGTTGTCATTTCAAGTGCTCCGTTGGTATAATTGATGTGACACGACTGGGCTTTACACAGAGTCCCTTAGCTTGTGCTCAGTTTCAGAGTTAGTCTCCCTATTATTCAATTTGAGTAGAGAAGATGTTTTTAAAGTTACATTGTTTGTGTGTGTGTGTGTATATATATATATATATATATGTGTGTGTATGTATGTAAACATAACCATCAAAAGAGAGCATGAAACTTAATTTATTTTCTCTCATCACCTTGAAAAATGTAGTAATTGGTATCCTCTTGCAATACTAAACTGAGTTGGTGTGCTGATGGCAGAGCCAGCAGGCGGTTATTTTTTTTATTAATATTATAATTAAATAATTTTCTGGAAAAAGACCAAAAACAGATGCGACTTGATTGTTATGTCTCTGCTGTTCCTTGGTGCAATCACTTGCATTTTTTTCAGAGAATTGACTTTTCTGTCTTGTTTTTACAGGTTGTTATCGATGCCTTTAGATTAATCAATGCTAATATGATGGTCTTAGGACATGAACCAAGACAAACAACTTCAAATCTGGGTCACTTAAACAAGCCATCTATCCAGGTATTTAATATTAATGTACTTACTTTGAAGATAGCTTAAAATGTTTGTGTCTATCAATATACAGACACACACAAAATTTAATTTGATAAAGATTTAGATCTTTAGATTTAATTGCAGATGCATGAAGATGTTAGTAATACGTACTACTCTTTTACAGTTGCTGTGTCCTGATAAAATGTGCTGTTGTTTTAGAAATTGTCTGCAGATTTTTTCCCCTAAGTTGTTCAAATCATTTTAGATACATGTTTGTGACTATTACATAATGGGGAAGGTGGTATCTTATTGATGTTTATGGGTTCTGTTACTCTTCACCTTAATTTTCCTTTTGGATACAGAGGTCACCAGGGCATTTCTTGGAAAACAGATACTGACTACAGTACATATATGCCACAAATATGTTTTCATTTCAGAAGATGTTGCTTGTTTTTCCTCAAGAGGCTTTTTTATAGTGTCCCTGAAAACAGGCAGGGGACTTGTGTACCTTCATGAGCCTATAGACCATGGATGATATTCATCAGTAACTTTTAATGTATGGCAATAAATCCAAAAGCCCACTCATAGTATTGGGCAGAATCCAGAACATAATTTCAGAATGAAATCCTTTATAGTTTATGTCTTTAAATGGAGTTACTTCCATGAAATATCCATTGGATTGCAAATTACTGTTCTTAAATTTATTTCCTAATAAAAATAATAATAACCCCAGGTCCTTTGGAAGGATTTGATAGGTGAATAAAAATACCATATAAAGGACTTGATAGGTGATCTAAACATCTGCCGAACTGCACAACCAAGTATAATAATGACTTTGTAATAAATAAGTAATTATTTACTATTTCCTAAATAAATAAGTTGGAACCTCAAGACTGCAGGTTAGAAAGGATGAAATCACTCAGAAATAAAACTTCATATTGTTGTTAATTGACTCCATCTTTCCTTTATAAAGATGTTGATTTTTAAATTTCATTTTAGAAATATTAAGCAGTCATCAAGCATGTTCCTATTCCATCATCACCTGCAGATGAATTTATATTTTTGTTTACTGTTAAGAATTACAGTAGTTCTTCTCTTAATTGCAAGCAATGCTGCTCATATTCCCCACTGGTCCAGGTTTTAATATGACTTAGATAATGTTAGAGAACACAGCTTTGATTTAGCTGCAGTGAAGTTTGGTATGGATGCACTTACATCTTATAGAGCTGAGAGTAAGGGAATTTGTTCTGAGAACTTGCTCGAAGGAAAGAGGGTGTAATTATGCAGCTTGCTGTTTGTTTTGTAAGTTCAGACCAAGATACTAAATTAATCTTATAAATACTACTGAATGTGAGATCTACTTATCCATAGTAAGTGATGGGTGTAAACAGACTTCCATAAAGTATTTTGTTTCTTAAACAAGTATTCCCCCATGAATGATTATTGCTTTGTCATTATCATTTTCCTATGCTAAAGGTAATATTGCCAAAAATATTATTTTTCTTTTAAAATGAATTTTAAAAATCCCAGTTAGTTGCCACCAAAGTCTAATTATTTCTCTGAAGATTAATTACAGGACTTCTAATACTAACACATGCTGCAAACACGGTACTTGTAGTTGAAAACAGCAAATACTACTGTTGATTTGCAATTTTTGTTCTTATCTTGGCAATCTTGTATCTGTCAATAGTTTATGCTCATATTTCATAAACTATATGGGCTTCATGAATAATTATCTACAGATTTCCCTAATAAAATAGAACAACTTTTTCAATACCAAAGAATTTATATTTATCAAGAATGAATAAAATTACTCCCGATTAGAATTGGTACAAACTACAAAGCCTAATGAGTATAGAAGAACCCTCTAATGTTTTTGATTGGGTGCAGGCAAGCCTGTGCTTGTATGTTTCTAGAGAATATATTACTGGGCCTTTCAAGGCAGTATGTAATGACCTCTTATGCAAACCCCACGGTATTGTACTGCTTCCTAATTTTTTTATTTTTTATTGTTTGCTTTTGGAAAGTTAAGAAGTACCAGTATCTTACTTTTAGTTCGGCTGTTACATACAAGTATAAGTAGCCTGTATAAGATTGCTTTTTGCTTGTTTGGGCTGCAACCCTGATTTGCTGTACAATATATTTAAACATTTCCTCTAAAATTATTCAACTTAACATATCCCGTTTGTTAGGAAAAGAACTACCCAAAAGGGATCTGCATAATGTTTGGTAATATCTCCTCATGTAAGATGTAATACAGCTGCTTCCACTACTGAAGAGGTAGGCTGCTCTTCAGTGGAAACACTGGCAACAGAAGAAAAGCTTAGCAGCAATATTCAGTTAAGGATTTAATTCTGCTTTGTACATCTGTGGCTTTTTTGGATCTTAATCAGAACTAGTTCTGGGCATTTATTTAACTTATTGAATTTTAACAGAAATACAGATTCCTGCTGGTTTGCCTATAATCATTTAAAAAACTTTTGCATTATAAATGCTCCACAGTTATAATCTGTGGTATATTTATGTGTTCCACACCATTTATATGCCACCCCAACTATAGATTCACACTACAAAACAACTGAAATCTGTTTAAGTTAAACCCATTAATTAGGACAATGATTAATTATACTATATGCCAAGCTATTATTTTAAAAGTATATCTGCCCTATTGTCTATTTATTTCCTTGCCATTGAGTTTGCAACACCAGAACATCTAGATGTATTTAGGTAGCTGCATATTTTGAGGGGGAAAAGTTGAAATAACTCAAAGCCTGAATGCAATATTTTAAGATAACTATTTTGTTTTATTTGGCAGAAATGGTTAAGTGCATTTTAGTAATGCTTTTTAAACATTCTCTTTCTAGGCTTTAATCCATGGGTTGAACAGACATTACTATTCCATTACTATCAACTACAGGAAGAATGAATTAGAACAGAAGGCAAGCTCTGTTTTCCTATAATATTTTCAATTACTAACAATAAAAAATATCTTTGTCACTTCGATTCTTTATCATAGAGGGGATTTTTTCTGACCAAGAGCTACAGCGGATGGGGCAGTGTTACCAACATATTGGGGTATGGGTGAGAAGGTCAATTACCTCAAGATATTTTTCTTTGGGTTTTTCCCCCAAATTATATTGAACCTATTTTAAGGATTAACACTACCATTTTTGAGTGTTCCTCTCCAGCTAGTAAGAAAATGCTGTTGAAATTTATTAACTACAATAATTTGGTGTCTCCACTTCTGCTTAATGTCATATAGCTGATCCATTGTCATCCCAAATAAAGTCTCAATGTGAACTCTGTGCTGTTCACATTTCTTCCAGAAGGCATCTGCATGCATAAGTAGTCAATGTGCTAGTAAATATGTGGTTGGCAAAAATCAGTCTGACTTAGACAATTTATGAACATCTTTGTTTAAATTATGATAAAAATATGGCTATTCTATTTTTAAAGCTACATGTTTCTGAAAGTTATTTTCTGTTTTTGTAGTGCTATTACAATGAATCTGTTAATTTTCTTGCCTTTATTTATTTTTAAAAGCATATACACTCTTTTCTTACATAGCTCAAACCTGCTTACACAAACCAGCTTATCCATATAATCCATCCAAAAATAATTAAGCTATTCTTGAATATTTACAACCAACAAAACATATAAACAGCAGCAATTGATTGAAGATTTATTTTGCAAAGCATATTAAGTAAGTTTACCAGCCTTTTCGAACATTTGCATGACTGAGCACTGGCAGCTTTGCTCAAGGAGCTTCTTGTTTAATATCAGGACTACCACTATTCTTTTTTTTATTACAATTTTTATTTCATTTTCTGAGGTAAATTTTGTGAAGGGTTGTTCAGCCACAGGTATGATCCCCCCCACACACCCACACAAATATTCCACAAAAAAGTATATACAGTTATACTTTTGTATCTATAATTCCAGTTGTCTAACTAAAAACATAACTCTCATTATTTTCAAAGTTTGCTAATTCTTTCCAAATGCAGACATTTTAGTTTTTATGCCCACAATAGATTCCATCTGTTCATGATTAAAGTTGATTTTAGAGGCACTGTAACTGTTCAGATACCTTTCCACACTAATTATCTGTTTGGGAGAATGTAGACATTAACTAAGGTCATTGTTCAATCATAAGTGTTCAGTAGTGTTCTTGAAGGTGACAGATTCAAACCGAAAAGCAGTCTTCTCACCAGGAGCTCAGTTGGGCTTGCAAAAATCAAGTGCTAAGGTCTTTGCTGCTTCAAATTCTCACTGCTTTAGTAAACACAGGAGAGCAATTTTGTTGAAGTAGGGAACGGCTTTGTGAGTTTAGATGCTCTATGTGATATACCTGTACTTTCAAGACATGGAAAAAGTAATATTTGAGCTGAGTTTTTTGCATCTTGGTTTGTACGGTGCATCTTTTCCCCCCTCTGTATTCTGGAGGTTGAGCTTTAACATTAAGCTTTGGAAACATTACTTTGGTTCATTTCACTGCATGCACTTTTATAAAGGTGATAACAGTAATTGTCAAGTGTGATTTTAAAAGGGTTTAAGAAATGAAGATTATTTTCATCAACGTATGCAGCCTTTGCCCAGTGTCCTGGCATCCATGTTTCCCATATCTTTCTTGTCTGTATTCATGATTTCATACTCATGGCTGAAAATAGGACTTCTGCCGTTTTAACACCAATTATTTATTGGAAGCTGATAGTCTGGCAAAAGGCCTAAAACCACATGAACCCAAACATGTTTTAGCACTCAATCATGTCTTCATAAATCCCCCTATGAGTGTGGGTTCAAATTTCACAGTGACCTTACAGAGCAAACAATTTTTATCTTCTCAGATGGACTCAGAGGGAATGGATAGTTAAGTCTATGGTGAGCTAATCTATGAGGCAGAAAAAGTTATCTGAGGTAGCCTAGGTAATTCAGGCTTGACACCAGTTTTCTACATTTAAACTCTCCTATGTTAGAAACTTTTGTATCTCTTTGCATTTATTATGATAAAACATAACTGAGCTAGTTTGAGCTCCAAATTCTGCCTCCTATAGACAAAATTCTGGGAGTTAGAAAGGAAAAGAACATTATTAAATATTCCCACCCAGTCGTCTGACTCTTTTTTTTCTTTTTCTGGATTAGAACTCATCTTAAGAAATGCCTGTATTATTTATTTTATTTATACTTATTTATACTTATTTATACTTATTTATACTTATTTATACTTATTTATACTTATTTATACTTATTTATACTTATTTATACTTATTTATTAAATTTATATGTTACCTGTCTCACTATAATGGTGACTCTCGGTGGTTTATAGCATAATAATGAGATAATATAAAATGATTAAAATTAATAAACATTAAATCTTGAACCAGAGTTTCTCTGGACACCAAAACAGCAGCATATAAATTTAATAATAAATAAATTAACAAGAAATTAGATTGCAGTAGATATTTGTAATTTCTCATCTGTTCTCCTAATACCACTTTCATGTTTAAAATGTATAAATTATTTTCCTGTATAAGCCACAAATACAGTTATTTTACTATTTGCTCTCTATTGTTTTTCTTCTTTTTTTTCTTTTGGGTAGATGTTACTGAATTTACATAAGAAAAGTTGGATGGAAGGTTTAACTCTTCTGGACTACAGCGAACACTGTAAGCTCAATGAAACGGTGGTAAAAGAAATGCTGGAACTAGCAAAGAACTATAACAAGGTATCATATTGGGCCTCTGCCAGACAATTACTTGACCATATGATTTGTCAGATTAGCTTCTGGAAGCATCGATTCAAAAATTGATTCCAATGTAATATGGAGAAAAAAGAAATACCCAACCTTAAAAAAATAAAATGGCATGAATCATTTCAAGAAATTAGCACAACTTATTTTAACATCTTGGAAATGGGCAGACCTTGTCTTTTAATTTTTTAAAAACCCAAATTGCTGCAGTCACCAAAAATGAAATGCTGAATTTCGTGAAAAGATGTGCAGGTCAAGAATAGTGAAGACTGCTTGTTTGTGTTGTTAGAGGAACTTGTGTTAGAGTCAGTGACATTTGTGTAATCCATGTTATTTCTGGTTTTGTTCTCTCTTCATTGTATTGAGAAGGTATGACCAAATTGATATTAACCACACCCTACTGAGCACTTCTAAAAACCATTCAAGTAATTTTGAGAAAGGCATTGACTTCTATCCTGATATATAGTTAGCTCCTTTGTTGAACCACCACAGTGAGGGGTTTTTATATGTGTGTATGTCCTTAAAATAACATTAAAGTTTCAGCTTCAATGGAAAAAGACAAAGTTTATATTTTGAAAAGCTTTTGAAATAATAAGATACTAAATACCAACCTTTTCTACATTTGTTTTACAGGCTGTGGAAGAAGAGGATAAAATGACACCTGAACAGCTGGCAATAAAAAATGTTGGCAAGCAGGTGAGGAATTACACTGGCATGAAAAAAAAATACTTGTGTGTTTATTTAATCATACATGGGTGATTTTTTTTGTTCTTAATTTCTATAACAGCCATTTATTTCCACTATAATTACTTAAAGTCAGTGACATACAAGTATGTCAACAATGGACATAAAATTAACATTTGACATCTGCCACTGATATAGCCAGTCAGTCCTTATTTAGCAACCACAATTGGGACCAGAAATCTGGTTGTTAAGTGAAGCAGACACTAATTAATTCCAAGACTGTGCGTATGATTTTAATTTAGCTTTCCTTTGCTGTGAAAGTCATAAATATGAGGATTTTCATCACATTGTAACTACAAATGGTTGCTGAATATGGCAGTCACTAAATAAGTACCTCTAATTTTTCTTCCTTAATAAACCATGTTTTATTCCTAGCCTTACGTATAGTGTGTTTCTCCTAGTATTCTGGATGCCTGAGTATAATGTTGTAATCAATTTGTTTATTAAATCTCTATAACACCCATCTCACAAGTGGCTCATTATAAAGAAGTCCCAATTTCTGTTACATGGATATTTTGCATTATTGCCTGTAGTGTGCTAAAAAGAAAGTCTCCAAATTGCAAATTTATAATTCTGCTTTGAAATAAAAGTGTTATAGTGGATGGCTAGAGGCTGGGTTATATATCAGATATATGCAGTTTAAATATTACTTGGTTAGGTGGTCTTAAGAGTTGTAGTTGTGTCTACCCTTTTCCTTAGTTTTAGAAATAATACTAAGCTAATGTTCATATGGTATGTTGACTTCCATAACTTGTTCAAGCACATTTACTTGGAAATGAGTTTTATGTTGTATGTGTGAGGAATTCTTATTCCAAGCTAATCTACTTCTTAATGAAACCACATTAACCAATCCAGAAATGGACATATTTTTTTGCACTCCAGTTGCAAGCTACGCATAAATTAAACATTAAACATTTCTAAAAATAACACAGTAGTGGTAATTCAGGTTTCCTATGTTAACAGAGTCCCCCCCCCCCTAAGTGTATTTTATGGTTTGTTTTCATGTATTTAATTGGAAAGTGCTTTTGTTTTGAGTGAGTATATTTTAAAATAACATGGGATGAAATCCCAGTTACATTGGAAGCAAATGGCAAAACTCCCATTGATTTCATTAATGAACTTGATAAATAAAGAATGTTATGATGGAGTTATTATTTAAATTGACTAGTAATTTACAAATGTGATACATATACAAGTAGTTAAATATAGTATACAGTGTGCAAGATGTATATACATCATTTTTACTTCTCTATCGCCATATAAAAGTAAATAATTTACTGTACATCATATTTGGCCTAGGTTTATAAGATTGCTTGGTTTTTAAGAAAAATTGTTTGTAAAATGACCTGAGTGTTTTGAAAATCTATTTTAGACAAGCTCATGGCTCCAGTAAACTATCAGCACAATAGTGATTAAGATGTGATAAAAATTTTCATTATGAAACCAAACTCTGGAATGTAAATCATCAAGAGTTATTTAAGCTTGGCAATATTAAAGTTGTTAAAGCTGGACATTAACATTTGAACTACTATAAGTCCATGTATTTGCCATACGCTAAATAAATAAATAGTACTAAAGTATTTGCACAGTATAAAATAATTAGGTTGCTGACTAATACTTTTTAAAACTTTGCACATAGCACCACCATTTCTTAAATTGGGTAATAAAACATCTGAAATAAATAACCAAATTTAGAGAGCATCAATGACCACAGTATTTATATCTGATAATATTACATGAAAATACTATAGTTGGTGATATAACAAATTTAATAAATAACAAATACATAGAAAGAAATGTAAATCCAAGTGTTCAGAATTCCAATTTTACATTAATATTGGGACAGTACTTAGGCAGATATAAATAATATGTCCCCTAACAGTTCAGTAATATTTTTGTTAGATATTGCCTTATACTGCTTGCATAATAGAACTCTGAACTTTAATTGCATCTTAACTGTATCAGTATTGCATTAAATGGAAACCACCATTTGTAAATGTGTTATTTCAATAAATTATAAACATTTTTTAACATTATATTTTAGGATCCTAAACGTCATTTAGAAGAACACGTGGATGTGCTGATGACTTGCAACATTGTCCAGTGTTTAGCAGCAATGTTGGATACTGTTGTATTTAAATAATGACTTGCTTATAAATGTTATTTGCTAACTATAATCATCCATTGTTTAAAGCACTGAGGCTAAGATATATTTGGATGTCAGAGACATCTGGCATCATTTGCAGTCTAAGAGCATCACTCTAACACCTTTTCATCTATGTTGTGCAATTACTTTGGCTATTTTTTTAATGCAAGATCTCTGCAGATTCTAAAACAATTCAAGAACCGGGTTAAAAGGTATATTTTCATTTTCATTTTTGAAGATAATTGGCAACACATATATGCATTCATTATTGTTATGTAGCTTTTTAAAAAGTGTGTTAAACTCCTTAGTGTTTTGCTGACATTGTAACTGAGAAAGAATCAATTATTGACAATACTGTACAAAATTCAACAAAGAGACAAATGCCTTTCAGTCAACTGATGATTTGTAAAGACCTGTGCCATGGACATGATTTTTTGCAAAAAACTTACTCAGATTACAGATCCCTTTATATGAATCACGGTTAAGTCCCACAGTATTTTTATCAGCTTGGACTCGACCTTGCAATACAAGAAAGAAAATGGAAAAGCTCGTAGACAAAGGCAAAGCACTTCCCATGACTAACTCTTTGTTTCTAAAAGCCCCTGGATTAAAGCTATTAAGTCAGAGGGATGTGATTTCAGGTAGGCCTAAACCTGTTTCTGCTGCCTTTAAATATGGATCAGGAGTCAGGACCATTCACCACGAGAACCAGAAGAGTTGCATATGGTTTTTAAATATAATTTGAGACTGTCTGGCCCTGATCTAACAAAATAGTAATTGCTGATTGTGGCAATAGTTAACATTAATTTGACACATTTGAACAATACCTGTAGACAGGAAGCAATGGTTTTTTTATCCAGATGAGAAACGTGCTATTAATCTTGCCAAAATGCCAATGAAAACCTGATCATAAATTTTGTTGAACCTTCTGTGTAATGACATTTCTGTAACTTTCACATCTGCTTTGTCAAGTACAGAACTCAGTAGACTTCCCAAAAAGTATAATTTTCTGTTCCCATCCCCAACTTTCCTTTCCTTCATATAATTATAAATGGCTCTATGGTATATGAACAAAGCACAGAAGATAATAAAAGCCTGGAACCAACATCTGAAAAGCTACAAGAAGTCTGTTACAGACAAGGTCATCAAAATATGGATATTCTTTGTCAACCTACTCTGTAAATAGCATTGAAGTGCATGCTGAAACATTAAATTACAATTTATTTTAGGATTTTTTTCTTTTAAACTGAAAAATAGACATTTTTTTTAAAGAAAGCTCGGGGCGGGGGGGGGGGCTTTCCAAAATGTACACAAAAAATAAGGAAAAAATATTGACTGCTTTATGAGATACTGTTATGGAAACCAATTTTTAATTTGTAAATGAAGTACAAGTTTATAAATGAATAAAGGAATACCAATTGTTAAGAAATAGTCTGGGTCTAATTATTATTTTTATTTATATAATTGATAAATTTAAACCTCACAGAACTTTTTTATTTTTTATTCTGCCTTTATTATTTTTATGAATACACATTAAAAACCCTAATATATAATTGCTTTATTCACTATGCTTCCTGTATAAGTCAACAGAAATCAATTATTTGTTAATTTTAATCCCACCTTTATTATTTTTTATAAATACAACATTTAAAAAACCCTGATATATAATTGCTTCATTTACTGTGCTCCCTATACATGCGGGTATAAATCAGCAGAGATCTTATACAAGAGCTTAATATTATTTCCAAGATAAGGTTTTTCTCTTTGGCATACTTTAAATTTGAAATATTTTATTTTATAAAAGAAGTATCAATTTAGGTAAGCAGTGGGCAGAATTTCCAATAGTCATGGAATGAAACATCAATACTCTGCAATGCTTTCTAGCTAATTAACACTTCCTTGAGGATAGGAAATGTTACCCCCTGCCTGAAGGAGGCAGTTATTAGACTTAATTTTTATTATTTTCTTTTTTAGAAATCTTCCCTTGATCCAGCAGATCTGTGCAATTATAGGGTAGTTTCAAGACATTTCATTACTGGAAATGGTAATCATAAATATGATGATCTCACAGCTCCAGATGCACTTACGATTATGCTGAGAATCTGGACCATTTTTAATTAGGCTTTTGACTGGTATATGGTATTGACAATGGTTTGGTCATCTAAGCGATCATCCATACTAAAATGGACAGGGAGAGTGCAGCCTACTAAATATTTTCGGAACAGATTTTATATTTCTGTTCCTTTGTTTAGGATGCAGACCTACAGTGTCCCACAGAGATCTCCCATTACATGAAAAGGCTGGGGAAGATCTACCTGTCACTGGATTCATAGCTGACATAGTTAATTAGCAAAATTATGGCCAACTGCAGCAACAATCTTTCCAGAATTGGACGGGGAAGCAATTTCCCATGGAGTAGTTATATCCCACCTTGAATATTAATAAATATTCTGTGTGTCTGTCTCTGATAAGACCTTGAAACTTCAATTGGTGGAAATGCAGAAGCTAACTGGGACAAAATGCAATAATTGGGTGACACCTGCATTTAAAAATCACCACTTACAGCTAGTTGATTACTGGGTACAATATAAGACATCGACTGATCAAACAAACAGAAGAGAAGTTGACAGTAATAACTCAGCCTTGTTTTGTGCTTAATATCTGCAGGAATAGACTTGAAGAAAATATTCCCTCAGCTTCTGATCTGTGATGGAGAGCTACTCCTGTGCCATTTCAGGCCATGAATGCACTTCATCAGAGGACAGAAGTAACGTTTCCTTCCAAGTTACATCCTGTTTAAAAAAAATTAAATTGGCTTTAGTATTAAAGCAGTTTGCATGTTAATTTAAACATCATTAAGTCACTGAGCAGAAAGGTGAGTTATAGATAATGAATGTGTACATGCACACAAACTATTTACATATTAAATCTCATATGTTCTATACAATGTTACATTTATTTTAACCTTTGTTATTGTTCCTAATGCATGGTGACAGTACAGTGCACTCCAGATGTTTCTGACCGACCTTGTTGTATAAAACTGATTAGAGATGTAGCTCAAGTCATCTAGAAAGGTCTGAGAGAGTGATTGTACGCATATCTGCCTTAAAGTTAAAACTGATGACATATAAAATTGCTTAAATAAAGTGAGGTCAACTTATCCATTCTTGGAAATGCTTGGAAATACTTTAGTGTTCTCTGTAAATGAGATATGCCTTTTTCCATTGTCAACTCTTTATAACTATCAAAGAGAAAACCACACCCCCATCAGACTTGGAGTCCAGAGACACCAAGTATTTTTCTCTGACAATTTTAAACAAGCAAGAAATTACTATAGTTGGCAGTATAGCAAGTTTAATAACATAACTCTAACATAGAAGAAAATGTAATCTGAAAGCAAGCTGAGAGGGCACCAAAGAAATTACTCTAATCTCTCACCACTGAAATTATCCAGCCTTTAGGTTAGGGTTGTCAAACTGGCAACCTGTGGGCCAGATGCATCACACCCAAGCCACACCCACCCCACCTTGGCAAATGCGGAAAACGTCACGTGTTTTGACACCCATGGTTTAGGTTGACCAGAATTCCTTAATTATTAACTGAAACCTATTCAGTAAATGAGTGGAAATGTAATAGTGAACTTTGGAAGTCTGGGCGCAGTCTCTTTAAAAAACCCAGAAATTGCAATAGTTCTTGCACCAATTAACTTCAACTCTTAAGAGATACAGGACTCTGTTAATATTTTAATTTATTTTCCACCCTTCTTTTGGTCAGATGAGGCATTTTTTAATGTCAGAATCTGCATTATGTTGGGCCTTGTTAACCAGTTTAAGAATAAGAGTTTGCATATGGCAATCCTTTCTCCAGTAGTGTTAATTGCTACAGAATTAACACACAAGAGTATTGTCTATTGGTGATGAAAATTGATCTGAAATTTAAACATGAAATTTTGAAGCTTTTTAAAATATGGATTTTTATTAGCTCTTTCAAGAAGTATGGCACACAAGCACATTTATGCATACATATATGTTTTTCAGAAAACAATGGAACTATATATTAATAACTTAGAATATGGAGCTTAAACATTCCAACTGAATAAACCTGGAATAAACAAGCAGCACTGGAAAATAAAATGTGAATTTAGTGTTGATCATTCAGCCATAGAATCAAAGTATTTATATCATGCAAAACAATGGCTTCCTATGTTAAAAATCACAAGTTCTCACCATTTTTAATTGATGGGTATATTCTTTTTAGCATGTATTCAATCTACAGATCTTGATTTCCTTACTGTAACTCATTTTCCATCCTCTACATAAAACCTACCATAAACCAGTTGTGACCATTAGTAGGGCATCAAAGGAAAGGTAAGTAGAAGTTTAAACTATCTCAATTATGTCAGGTTTCTTCAAGGCTCACAAGGTATTTGGAATTTTGGAAGCCCTGATTTTTCCATTATTCCCCCTCCCAATGTATTTGTTTAATCTACTGCTATATTCAAGCAACAACACACTTTGTTATAGCCCAAGTAAATTGTTTCTCACTCAAAACAGTGGAAGTGTGACAAAAGTACTTCCTGCAACAAGGTAGTTCTTATGCCTGACATTAGTACCATAAGATTGCATTGCTCACAACTTGCACCACCTTAAAACACTAATGACTATATTGTGGCATAAGCTTTTGCTGAAACAGACCAACAAGAACTGTTCCTCGGGGAATGTATTAATTAACTCCAACTTAGCAGCTTTGTTTGAGAGTTTCCCTTTGAAACTTCTTGTTGTTGTTGCAATATGGCAACTTTATGGGCTACAACAGAATGTCTTGGGAAACAGGAGACTGAAGTGTGTTACCACTTTGGGGCTAGAATTCTGTACTGATTTATATGGGAGTAAGCCATACACACTGCCAGATTTGTGTCCACTGATTGCATGTGGTAAACTCTGGGGTTTATGCCTGTAACAGTATGGTTAAAAGAAAAAAAAAAGAAAACTTCACAAAATCTCATTCATTATGGGAGTAAGACAAGAGACTAAACTGCTTAATTGACTGGATATTTTTTGTTGAACTGAGTGAAACATTTTTCAATAACCCATTAGGGAAGCATATTTTGTCATTTTCCTAAAAACTCTCATTCCACTGTTTAAAATGTTATTCCTATCAGTATTGTGACATTAGAAGAGATTAATTCTGGAAATGTGGAATTAGCTCTCATATAGAATAAGTTCAGCTAAGAAATATGAATCTGAATTTCAGCTTTTTAAAAGCAGAGCTTGAATTCCGGGGGTTTATATAATAAACCAACCCACTTATTTTAATGACTCTCCTCACAATGTTTAATGTGCATCAAACATTATGTGTCAGTATGGCAAAAAGTGGGGGGGGGATTGTGAAACCTCGAGCAAATTTTGAAATTCAAGTAGGCAGTACAATAAATAACCTGTGATTCAACTAAAATTTGCAGCGCCAAATGCTAGGTTTCCAATCTTCCTCCAGCTCTTTGTTGGAAAAACAGCCACCGTCATATGGGAAGAGATGGGTGGAATTAATTCGGGGGGGGGGGCGGGGGGAAGCCTGGTATTTTCAACTTTAGCTGCAATCTAAAACAGTTTTTTTTAATGGCAAAGAAAAACTGACCACTTATAATACGGTCCCTATCTTGCCCCAAATTGCCAACCTGTGATTAGTGGAACGGACAGCCAATCAGGGACCATCCTAGTCTCCACAGCGAAAAGTAAAAGAGGAGGAGGAGGAGGAGGGAGGGAGGAAGCGCATCGGCCAAGGGCTCCTACGGTACTCGGAGAGTCCGATTCGCTCCCCCTCGCCGCTCTCATTTTCTCTTGGTTGCGGTTATGATTATCGCTACTGCTGCTCCTGTTACGCCTGCTATTATATATCTTTTTTATTTTTATTATTATTATGTGGTTTAAAAACCCCGGAGACAATCAGGGCAAGTTTCGAGCGATTTTTAAAGAGGGAAATTCCTCTCAAGGCAAACCTAACTCGAGAAATAGATTCTTGAGGAAGAATGGCTGAACACGCAGCCTTGTGGCCTCTGGATTTCCAGACCGAGGGTTGGTGTTTTTTTAAAAAATTAAACCGAACCCAATGGGCCACCGCCGTGTTTTATCTTAAGCTCGGCTTTTCTCAAACCTTTATTATTGTTTTAAAGGTGCGTTTGAACCCCCAAAACCCCCTCCTCCTTCTACCCCCCCCCACACAAATCAATCCCGAAGCATTTTCCCCCCTTCTCATTCTAGCAAGACGTTAATTTATTCCTACAAAAAAAATTCCAGGTAATTACTTGTGACAAGCTTATTATCACAGAAGAGAGCTGGGCGTGAGGGAAAAAGTATTCAAAACACCGAAGGAACACAAGCCTAAAGGAAAGAAGGGAGAGGGCCACGGGGGGAAAAGAGATGGGGGGGAGGAATTCGAGCTCTGACTGGATGCTGGTCTGTTATCCTGTTTTTCTCGGAGCGTCTCTTCCCCCCCCCTCCTGCTCACTTCCTTTACCCCGCATGTCTGCGCGCAAATAAAATATTTATTTACCGAGGAAGCCAAGCGCCAACCTCAAGGCAAGTCAGTCACTCAAGGCGCTTCAGATGACGCTCCTTTCCAAAGCAAGAGAGAATCAGACTTGGGGTGTTTTGCGGATGGCGGTGGGGGAAGAGACGCAGTGGCGCAGTTACTCGCTATCTGCGGCTGGCTGGCGATTCCTTCCGGCAGGGGCGAGCGGGGCATTGGGGAAGAGCTTGCGCTCCCGCTTGGGCCAGGAACGGGCAGCTCTTGGCCAGAATGCGCGGGAAACGTGCCGGCCAATCTGCCGGCCGTTACCTCAGGGGAAACTCTGGGACAAGCCGGCCCGTCCAAGCGCTTCGCCTTAAGGAAGAGGTGGGGCCTCCTCTCCTCTACCGCCTCTGAGCGCCGCGGGAGCTTTTGGAGCTGCCTGCGAGGCGAAGGAAAACGCGACGCTAGGAAGCCCAGAGAGGGGTGGCGGCTTGGTTTCGGGGCTCCTGAAAGCCCCGAGTCGCGTAGCCAGAAAGGCCGGCGCGAAAGGAGAGGGGCGGGACGCCAGTGCCCCAAATTCTCTCCCTCAAGACTTTCTACACTGTGGCCACAGAGGATAGTGGAGGGCTGCGTAGGGTCTCTCTTTATTTCTTTCTCTCACACAAAATAAATAACTGTAAACAAAGTATTTTATATCGATTTTGCTGTATATGTGTGCGTGCGTGTGCGTGTATGTATGTATAGATATATATACACATACAGTAAAAAGTATTATACGCACACACACACATATATATATTCATTTGCCTCGAACGTCGCGCGACCGGGAGCCAGGTGATTATCCTAATTAACGTCTATCTAATTAAATTACT